TTTTATAATGATTATAAGTGATACCAGTTTTCTACATTGTAAAAATACTAATTGTGGCACCCTATCAAAATAAAGGTATGTTATCTTATCCTTGATTATCAGTGAGACCTTTAAAACTTTGTGGCCATGTGGTGGTTCGGTTATTAATCATTATTAGCTTTCTTACTCCCTGTTTATATTTCAAAAAAGCCGCTAATGTAACAAACAGGACTAAAAATACATTTTATGACTACTTGTGTTGCCTTAAATTGTAACCTTTGCCATTTGGTAAAGACGCAGCATGCAAAAGAAACCACATGAAACTAAATTATAACTTTGCCTGCAGGAAACTGGTTGTGACACTGTGGCAAACTACCAAATGGAGAAGAAGACATCAATAGAACTAATCTAATTTTCTTGTCTGTTAACCCTAGTTGTGTTTACTCATCAATTCGGACGCCATAGGAGTGTCTGAATCACCTACAGAGTCTAAATATATTGGGCTCTAAATATACTGTCACTGGACTAACACTTTACACAAGGTCAAGTTCTAAAAAAAGCGAAATATTTTAATTAAAAATGTCTTGAATACTAGCATGTCTAGTTAAGATTTTCAACCAAGGTTCAATTGGTCAGACTAGCAACAGCTTTCTAGTCATTTCAGGATGTAAGGTTAGAAAAAAGATACTGTAAGTTCGAAGGCCTTAGTGTATAGGTTACTCTACGAAAAAACACGACTCATCGGCCGTTTGTAATTCGCCTAGGCGATCACATTAAATTGGAGGGGTCGTCCACTTGAAAACGCCCGCCCGCTTTCATCAGGATCAGTAATAGTTTTCATTCCATGTAACTGTGGCAAACAAATCTGGGTATGATAGCTCATAACAAACAAACCTGTCTTGATACAGAATAATGGCTTTAAAATGGGAGAAGAGCCAAAAATGCTCACCCAGATCATAGGAGGGAAAATTAGAGAGAACCCAAGTAGCGCAATGAAACTCTTTCGTTCATGCCCGTATCCGTCGAATCTTTTTCAGTCAGGCCAAAAGATTATTATTACTTATTTTTTTATCTGAAAGCACTCTTGACGTTTAGAAGAAACTTTGCCGTTTGGACATTGTTTCCATTTATTTCATCGTTTGAAGCCAAAGAGGAAAATTAGCCATGTGAAGAGAGTGCTGTCTTAAATAAACTTGACCTAGCCTCTGTTCTGACATTTCCTTTATCGATCAAGCACTGGGCAACCAAAAAATTTGGTCAGAAAAGCTACTTCGCAGCTCAATAATGAGGTCATCTGCAGATCCTGTTACCAGCCATTTATCATTGATCTGTACTGATAGCTGACGAGGCGAGGCACAGACTTCCAAACTGAACTAAAAACCAAGCCCAATCGATTTCTCAGCGGGTTTCCAAAGTGCGCGATCCATTGCAAAGCAGATCGATGTTTTTTTTTTAACAAAATCAGGTGTAAAAAGTCAAGCCAATCTTCCCAGTTATCACACAGCAGAAGGCCTCACAGTTGACTAAAAGACACTGCAAAACCTACTTCCGTTTTGCAAAGACGGTAAGCAGACAAGTTAAGCCCGTGTAAACACTATTTGTTTATCTACATAAGCTTATTTGTCTAATTTGCTGCTTGTAACTACAACCATTGATATTTAACCTACAGGTTCTGAAAGATCACATCGATACGTGGGGCTGACGCAAGCAACGTGAACATCCCTCTCAAATCCCTACGACAACCGCCTGCTTTAATGCAAGACTGATCTATAATAAGAAAGGCCTTGTCAAGCAAGAGGAAGTTGAGAGATCTTAACCATTCTGTATCAAGCAATGAGCTTGTAATACAGATAACTTCCTTCCTGATAAAACACGGAGATCCGCCATCTGGCGCCAGTGCGCAAGATATCAGTCCTCACACTTTTGCCTACAGTGTGCCAAACTATAACGCAAACAAGCTGTAAACGGGTTAAAAAGGAAAAGGCACTACATCGCGGCCGAAAAGATCAAGTGCTCCAGTTGGCATCAAAGGTACATTATAATATGTGTCAAGCCACTGTTTGGAGAGTTTTTTTTGCGGCAGTATATCTCACTATGCAGTTCGTCACAGATGAGGCAGGTATGATATAAATAATTCACATTTCTCATAATTTTGTGTTTACTTTCTGGATAATTAGGTCTCAGTGGAAAGAAAAAGAGTAATGTTTAGATACCCTCCCTCAGGCGACGGTACGCGGTATGAGGCGGATGCCCTTAATCTCGGTCCTTATTGTACCAGGGAGGTGCGTACGATTCAACTGCCAATGAAGTGAAATACTTGCTTTTGCTTCCTAAGTGTCGTAAGCGAAAAATAAATACTCAACGAAAAGAACCAAGGGTGCAATAATTAGCTTTCTTGGCATACACACAAAGTGTACGCAGTATTACAGATATGACCCTTACCATCAAGTCAAAGAAGTAGATATGAAAAACGTGCTCCCGCATTTTGCGTTCCTCTTTTAAGTTGGCTGTCTTATCCTGAACTATCAATGGGGTTCTTTTTGCTTAGATTTCTGTTTCCCTTAATTAGAAAATGAAATAATTCTTGTCAAAAATAAGCAAGTTCCAAAACGTTGTTCTAACGACAAGTTAACAAGTCAAATTTTCCTATCCATCGGCTATTTTATATTACAGTGTTTTTGCGGAATGAAGAATGTTCTAGAAAAAAGATAACCTCTGGAAAGACGAATCTTAGTTGATCAGCAGGGAAGCATATGAGAAGGGGCGTGAATTTTTTGTAACAAAACTTGACAGGCTCGCGTGCAAGATCTTTGCCTATTTCTCCATTTCCTGCCTGGTTATGATTTCTTAATTTAAAATCCAAATAAAAGAGCCCAACACGAATAGCAAACGGGAGCATTCACGCTCATAACGACACTAAAATGATCTCAATTTTTGCAGGTTCTTTCCCTTCAATTTCCGTAAAAGATACTTCGAAGTAGATAGCTCATGCATACCCTGTCAGCATTAGCTATCCAATACCGTGTGGTCTGTCGTCGAATCAAACAATAATGTTTAGATCACATGAATCGCGAACATCCAGTTGTTTTAAAGAATAACGCATCCACATAATTTTCACTGTGTTCTTCTTCAAAACGTGTTTATATAAAATGAAGCCACAGAAGAAAGGAAGAAGGAAGGGGGTATGCCCCTTGGAACAAAAACTTAACAAATTTTGGGTGTGGCTTGTCAGGTAAAATCTTTTCCCCCTTTTCAAAGAAAAAGGTCCCTACCACTTTACATCAGACTGATGTCCCTAAGACAAATTACAAGTCCCTACCATCTTCAGTCCGGTTGCTTTATTGGTCACGGTTTTTCCGACCGAGAAATAAAACCACACTGGCCGTGCCACGTGTCTAAGCCGCCTTACTCAGGTATTCACACTCTATCCCGTGCCCACAAACATCATAGCTGGCACGCGACTTAACAGATATTTTGCAAATTCAATTACCACTGGCCGGAAGCTAAGCTCCGCCTGTTTGTGTGTGATCAGTAATGATCGAACATGTTCAATATGCTTACAATAAGGTTTTTATTATAATGTTAAAGAATTTGAAGTTGATGTGTAGTTGTCTACTGAGTTTCGCGATGTTTGGAAGCATTTAAACATTTTTCAAGTACCGACTGAGCTTCAACTGTAGAACAATCATACAAAACGCAGACCAGCGATGACCAAAAGAGACATTTTAAAGCTCACGACGCATCCGAGGTGTAAACCAAAAGATGAGAAAGCATAAAAATAAAATGCAATCGAAAACTTCCCCAAAATGCTCCAAATTGTGATGAACTATTCATTATCACGGGTTATAACTCTAACATGAGAGTTCTCATCCCATAAATATTGCTAGGAGTTAAACCCCGATAATTCTTTTTGACAAGAAACAAGAAGAAGCCTTCATTTTATTTCCTGAGTTCATTTACAAGAGTCAGACTTAAATTTAAAGACATACCTCGGAGAACTTTATTCAGGTTATATGATCGGTATCGAATACAAATTACTTGATTCAGTTTTGGAAAAAACAAATAATAATATCCAATCACCTATAAAAACCATAAACAACGAAAACATTAGCAAAATAACTAGGCCAAAAGTCTTGGCTGCATCCAATGAAGGCATCTGATGATCCATTTAAGGGTAATTTGTGTGATAGCATTAACTCCTCTGGATCGGTCAAAACAGACACTTAAATAGGCCTTTCCCTGTTTTTACTTTAACAGGCAATGTGCCGCGGACGGGTTACACATCAGCATCGTCATCATATAGGACTCGTGCCACCTTTGATGGTATGTCAACTGCCACGTTCCCGGCTAGTGCAAAGATTTGGAACTTCTGCATGAAAAATGATGAAGGAATGGAAATTCCTGATTCTGCTTATTAAAAAGCTGATTTAAAAATCACCGGTCAGTTTTAAAAACATTGACGCTGGGAAAAAAAACGCTCAAGTTTAGTGGGGTCACCTTTACACTGAATTACATTGATGGCGAATACTCAGTGTCGAATAAAAGTTTCTTATGCAGTGAGAATTTGGAAGAAAGGCGCTTTCTATTCAAAAACAGGACTCCTTTGTAATTATCAAAAAGTACCTCGATCCTGATCTTAACAAATTTGTAAAGCTGGTCACTACGTGCTGTGGTGAATGTGTAAAGTTTCCTTGACTTCCTTTGACTGACCACTAACTGACCACTGAGATTTACTGGGTCAGTTCCCCTTTTAAGCTTTCTTGACAAACTAAACCACCGATCATATTCTCTGTATGTAAGTTTGAGGTCCACTACTGCTGAATTTAGATCACAAAACTACCAAAGCGTCTTAGGCCTCCCATTCGGAGAGAGAACAAAATAGTAAAATCCGGAAATTTCTGATTTCCCCGCGGTCACTTGCGGATTTCAAAGGAAAAATAGTTTTTCTGAGGTGTGAACCGCTGAAGGATCTACATAAACGTGCCTTCACAATCATCTTTAATTCCTTACGCATTTAATTTGCCACAGGTTTTCCCAGATTTGTGGATACAGGCCGGATGCAGCAAACGTTCATTGCGTGGCCAGCTAGTCATAATATTCGACTTAAGTGCAAGGCTAATGGCTCAAAGCCGTTAAGATACCAATGGCTAAAAGACGGTCTTCCTTCAATACAAAGACGTTTACAACCAAGGCTCAAGACAAACATGTGGTACTTAAAGCTCAAAGACTTGGTGACTGTTGATTCCGGAAGATACACTTGCGTTGTGTCAAATCCCTTTGGATCCATAAATCACACTTATACGCTACGAGTTGTAGGTATGATTTCCAGTAGTAACTCGGCAAAAGTACGTTATTAATTCGTATCGCAGCAATTCAGTTAAATCAGTTGGCCTCAAAAGCGTTTGTCGTACCTTGCATTGTCAGAGGAAAATTTAAAGCAAAAAGATTACCTGACAGACTCTTCGACACACTGAGTTTGACGACCTGTAGTAGTTCTCCTCGATAAAATTGTAGATTTCAGTATCGATGGATTACACAAGTCTAACAATTTCTCTCAAATGACACATTTAACAGTGGTTTTCTGCTCGATAAAATTAAATTTATGGGCATTTAAATGGTAAATGATACTCTACAACTCTATAGGGCGGAACCCGTTTGGGTAAGCACTTACCGTATGACTCTTTATTAGTGCTGGAGTTTAATTAGGCGGATGGGCGATTTTTCTTATTTATCAGCTCGTTGCGGTGACTTGAGTGCGGTTTTTCCTACTGGAAATTAAGTTTCGCGATTTTTGGAAACTGCATTGCATTCCAAACTTCATGCGTTTATCTGGGTCAAAGTACAGACAAACAACATCCGAAAATGCCGTGGTCATTGTAATTACAGTCGAATGTAAACGGAGTCGCTTTCTGTATCACAATAAACACATACCATCGTTGTGGTTGTATTATAGCGGAATTTTTTCGTGCGGTACTGTAATTTTCTTCTGCGGATCGTATTGAAGGGTATCGTAGGGGCACCCAACATCAATTTTTGGAAAATGTCTGTTCGCAAGACGATTTGAGATCTAGAATTTTCGGAACATTTGTTGTAAAATTTCTTGCTTGCTTGCCTCTCCCAGGATTTTCGAATATCTAAACAATGGTATAATTGCCCATTTTTAACGGATTTTCACTCTAAATTTTCGGAAGAGTTTTTCTGCCTGAAATTTTCGAAAAGTTAAGTTTTGATCCCCACAATTTTCTGATCACTAGACTTTCAGCTAGGAAATCCGAACAGATGAAAAAATTTTAGGGGATAGAAATATGTCTATATCTACCGTTAAAATACTAAAATACGTTCAACAATGCTATGTTTAAGTGGTTTTAAACTTTATTCTCGTTGGGTGTCCCTTGTATTGGTGAAAATGACTCAACAACGGCAAAGAAAACTCTTGTCTGCTTTAGTGTCTTTTGGGAATGTGTACTGACGTTAAGAGAAAATTGACACTAAACGATAACTTAAATTCCGTTGATAAGAACCGGGGACAAAAATCAGGCTTTACCGGGCTCCCGAAACGCAATGTTGATTACAAGACTTTGAGGATCACGTCTATCATTCATTTGTTTGGCACCCACATTTTACTATATTTACTGTGTTACTGTAGAATTCATTTCATAGAAAAAAATTCGACATTGATTGCTAACTAAAGCGGGTTGTTAAGTCAACGTTCGCCACTTTCTTCCAATTTTGTATATCCTTGAAATTTGATTTACTACGCCGGTCAAACCTGCCATTCCAGACAAGTTACATGATTTGGCCTTTCCAGACCTTATCATTATCATCATCATCAGATACTTTTTCCCACGTAGGGTATATATTAGAGCAGGAAAGTAATTTCCTGTATCCGTAATCTCTTTTATCTTTTACATTGTGGGGTGATTGGCCCTACCCAAAACCCCCAACCAGGACGAACCGAGGCTGTCTGATTATAACCCTAGACCAATCCGACTTGGTGGCCCACCATGGGTAAAGACCCCCACCGACATAGCTTTTGGATTCACTAAGACACGCAAGCTTAACCACCACGACACGTTCGCAAGCCCAGGATAAAGGCTCTAATCCGTAAAGTACCTAACATTAAAGCTCTTTCTTCTTTTACAGAAAAATCTCGGACCAAGCCCATTCTCAAGTGTGGAGCTCCGAAAAACACAAGCGTGCAGCTTGGACAAAACGCCTCAATGACATGCGTTGTAGTCATCAGTGGAACGATACCGGATTTTCGATGGGTGAAGTGGAATTCAATCTCCAACAATTACCCCAATTCACTTGATTTTATCAATGGATCTTACACTCTTATCAATCCTGTACAGTATCAAACGGTCTATGTACAAGGGAAGCAAGGGGTCCAAGTTAACATACCGAACGTCACAGTCAGCGACTTGGGACTGTATACGTGTTACGTTAGTAATCATCTTGGCTTTGACTACAGAAGCGCATTCTTGTTCGAGAAAAAGAACGAATGGAGCCCGTCAGAGGGTAAGAATAGCAAAAGTACTCATAGGCCTACGAGTTTTGTGAATTTAATTTCGTAGTAATTTTATAGGCTATAGTTATAGTATTTATCATATTCTTCTTCTTGTTTTAAAAATTACTCATGCCCATCGCCTCCCCTAACTCACAATACAACCTTAAACCCGACGATGCACAATTTTTCTTGACTTTCAATATTGTAGCTAGGATGAGGGTAGGGGGGACTGCAAAACATTTGTTAAAAAAAAAGGAAGCGCTGCTTTAAGAAGGCATACTGAAATTACAAGTAGTTTCGAATATTGCATGACTGTCGACCAGTTGTTCCCCAGGGCTGCGCCAACATCAAAAGTCTTAAGCTAATCCTAAGTTCTAAAAGTCACCTGGGGCCTTATCTTTTTACTAAAGAACACTCCTGCCACTGTTTCCTGGAGTGTGTATCCAGAGCACTTTCATTCAAGGCCCCCTTTTGTTCTTAATCCTTTAATTCGGTAACCAAAGCTGTGTCGGGAAAATACTAAACCCCCTTCGTTAGCAAAGCGTAAAAAGAAACAAAAAAGAAAAGAAAAATCATGACTCAGTGTACCGTTATTGGCATTGTTACGTTCTAGATCTCACTTCATTTAAGCCAATGCATCTCTGAATCTTTCTCCAATGATATGTGCCCTGTTGTCTACTCCATTAATTGATATTTATAAACACCCACCGAACTTCAATCCAGGAGAAAACAAGAAATTAAAATATCATAGAACGTTTTTGTCGTTGCCTTGACTGGGCCTGAATGCAACACCCGCCTCAATGCTATACTTTCGCTCTGACGAAATGACTTTTATCAGTCATCTTTTCGGCTCAGTGTTGAGAGCAAACGCATCTAATCAAATGTTTTACTTTTTTTCTACTGTGGAGATTATAAGTGGGTACCTGTAAAGTGAAAACGTACTTATTTGGTTGAACAATCAGTAGTTAAAAATAAGTGCACTCAAGAAATCGCATTGAACAAATCGCAGTAGTCTATTTTAGGAAATCAGTTCGCGACCATTGGATAGTTCGCGACCATTGGATAGTTCGCAGGCTATTACTGCAGCGAAACTCTAAAATACTCCCACGCAGTTGCATTACAAAAAGAGGATAATTTGGACTTTCACATACCGAAAACAGTGTGTGCTGTAGTATTATATGTACCATCTCATGTCTTTGTCCATAGACTACAGGTATTCGGCCATTTATAGTATGGTTAAGTGAGCGCGGAGTGGCTGCGTTTTAACTGATTTTTCTGATGTTATTATCATAGGAATTAAAGGGGGTGTGTCACGGCCGCGGTGAGAGATTTTGGAAACGGTTCATTGTTACATGTCATATGGCCTCGAAGTAACCAATGAGAACGCATGATATCCGGAATAATCAAGGTCGAGGTAAGTGTTATCAGCCGAGCCGAAGGCCGAAGCTGATAGCACTTACCGATATTGTTATTGAAAATCATGCATTGCGCGCGCAATCAACAGATGCTAGCAGATAACAATCTAATCTGTAGGTTGCGCTGATTTCCAAACTTAGCTGCAGGCTCTTAGCCATTGAGGAGACAGATAGTGAGTACAATGTATAATAACCATAATTATTGTTGTTGTTTTAACAGATCGGCCTTCTTACACGACAACAGACCCTGGAAAACGCTTCCTCGATGGGGACGACGCAGCTGACACGAAAACAATACCCTCCAAAGGTAAGCCAGCTGAAGAAATGTTTGCCATAATGCATGGATTATGACTTGAGAATATGACGTCACGAACTTTTTGTCCTGTTTTCTTGGTGACAAGGTCGCAGGAAAGTGGCATTTTCATAGCGGACGTGAATTAATGATGCTTGAGCGCAAATAAGTACCACTTTCCTTAATCATATAAAGCTATAATTTGAACACCATGTACTTTAAGTACTTAGCTACCAATATAGCCAAAAAAAAGGTAAAAGGTATCCAACAATTTGATCGTAGCAGCACTTTAAAGCACTAACGACAGCAAAAATTTAGGTAACTGCAAATGTTCTCCGATGTTTAACTTTTACTTTTTGGAAACCTCGCACAGAAAACAAGTTAAACAGAAAATTGGTGGTCATTCGCGCCTGGGCGGCCCCCGCCGGGCATTCGCAGCTGCATCTACAGGAGCAAAGAAACTCGTAAAACCAGGTCAACAATTCACCTCAGTTTAAGTGGACATTCTCACTTCCCAAGAAAACATTGAACCCTTCTTAATTAAATCATAAATTCTTGGTTCCTGTTAATAGCGTTGCTTCAATGGTGTAGATAAAACAGTCACATAACATCACACTACTAATATAAACCTGCAAGATGAGGGCTATCTCGCCCATGTAAGGGAAGACAATCTTGACTTCTAGATTCCACACTGTGGATTTCGGATCCCAGGTATTGGATTCCGGATTCTTTGTTAGCAGAAATTAGATTCTGCATTCTAATAACAAGTGGGATTCCGGGATCCTTGAGCTGTATTCCACATTCCAAAAGCCCTGAGTTACCATTCCACAAGCAAAATTTTCCCGAAATACGGATTCCCTTACATGGGGGCGAGCTATCGTTTAATTCCCTTATTCGCAGCGTTACCTTTTGATACCATAAGGAGTTGCAACCCTTAAGTGGTATATATCTTACTAGTTGATCCATCCGAAAAAAGTGAACCCACGCAGGACCGTAGTTTCTTAGCAAATATTTTACAAAACAGCACATGTTTTCGCATTCACATTCCTAAAATCTTAACCATTGTACCAGCTTTCTACAAAAAAGAGACTAAAAATAGCGAGGCCCTAATGATTTTTTTCCTTCAGGGACAAAATTGTCGCCACTGTCTTCTCAAGAAACTCAAGTACCGCTCAGTGTATTCATAGGCGTGCTGGTCACGTGGACTGTTACCACTGCAGTGGGTTTCCTGTGGTGTCATTTTCGACAAAAGAAACTGATCACAGCTACAAAGCCTGAACTAGAGTGCTAGTACAACTTCACGAAAGGAAACAAAAGTGTATTTGAAAGCCTGAAGTCACCCTATTCCCCATCAACCGTCGAAAGAAAATAATAGTTTCTTACTACACAACAAATCTTGTAGCTCTTATTTTAAAATCCAGCAAATTTGAAATCAATGCAAACTTTAGTTTCAAATTTGATGAATAATGTCACATATGTACTAAACATTTTGCTATAAGCCAACATGGTATCAAAAATCGTGAAAGCCGCTACTGTAATTTGTCCCCCAGGCGCTTCACAACTCGAAAAAGAATCATTCTCGAGTTCCAAACTCCCACTTTCAAAACAAGGCTAAGCGCGAAAACTTTCTTGACTAAAAATGAGTTTTATTTGCATGAGAATAAAAATTATAATTTTCAATGACGTCGCAATAAGCCTCGCTTTAAAGCAAAGGCTTGAGGCAACTCAGCTCGGAAAAGGCCTTTTTTGTTATTAAATAGAATGCTCACTCACGTGATCAGCAGCTATACAAATTCTTGAAACAAAGGAAAGAAACGAGAAAAGAGTTTAATCCCCATTGAAGTTTCTTGGTACATCAACATGGCCGCCATTCACTGTTTTGTATATCAATGTAGCCGCCGTGACGTCATGTAAAAACGATTTATTATATAGGTTTAAGTATAGCCTTGTAAAAGAGAACGTCAGCCGTCATCCCATTGATTTTCACAGGAAAAGTCGATATGACTTCCGCTCATTGAGTCCTCGCAAACTAGTTTGAATTTTTAAAACCAAATGAAGTGGTTCAGCTGCTGGTGTCTATCTGCTGGAATTGAAAACTCACCTCTTATCGAGCCAGTACAAACTTTAATGATAACACTTTCACTTCGTTCACCTATTTGATTTATCCAGCTTTTACTGTTAAGTATTCTAAAGAAATGTAATTCATGTATATACGAATATATATTTGTCATAAGGTTGGTTAAGCAGTAAATATTTAGTATGTCAATTCCAATCTTTTAAGAGCGACATATTTTTTAGCACATATGCCGCCCGATGTTCATTCTCCTCAGACAGACCAGCAAAGGTGTCGTCTGCATAGTCATAGCCACTTAAAGATACAAGAATTATCCTAACGAAGTCCAAAGATTTCGTCTGCATAATCATAGCCGGTTAAAAATACAAGGCTATGCAATATACAAACTACTTTAGGAGCATTACCAGACAGCTTCTTTCTTTTTCCAAAAAAGTATTTAATCATTGACTCTCCGATTCACTTTACTTAAAAGAGGTAAAATAGAGTCATAGATCTTCCTGTGTCAGTAATCCATTACTAAAAATAAAATATAAAGACCGTTGTTAGAGTTTTGTTGTTTTCTAAGTTGAATTTACTAATCAAATCACGGCGTGGTCCCGACTGATAGTCCCTTTGCTCAACTTCGCTTTCCACGACATTTCACTAGTCCATGTGTTTCTTTTTTTTTTTTTTCAAACAAATAATGTTCCAAATGCACGCAAGTCCTTAGACCCTTTTTAATAGAAACAGGAGATCAAAGTAAAAATTAGCCAAAAATTTAGCGGAATATACCGCCCTTGTCCAGATCTTTGGCCATCTCAGCGTGCAATATTCTTACGAACAGCTTATAGTACGTATCCATTTACCCTCTTCCCACTGCCTTTTATGACCTAAACTCTCATGCCATCAACCTGGAGTAGTTGGCAAGGAATTTTTTCATTTCTTACCTATGTTCTGGTTCATTTCTTATCCTTCTCTGTCCATCTCGGTATCATCCTTCTTATATCTTTACCTATATTTTCTATCTGAGGGGGCGTAGTCCGTGGGGCCCGAGTGACCCTCGTAGGGTAGATAAAGGGATCATTTTCGGAAAAAATAGAATTAAACCAATCTGGGCGTTGTTCAGGCTTTATTTGACCTCTAAAAGAGACCTTGCTAAGACAAGCAGACAATTTCCGCAGCCATGAAGAGCTGTAGTGATTTAAATGCCCAGAGGTGTTAAAATTGAATCCTGCATTCAACATAGAATGACACCGCTTTGTTTTCTTTGTACACCTCCTTTCCCCACAACCCTAAGCGATATTCATGATTATCTTTCACTCTAACCTTTGGTTTGGATGCTACCCGCACATGCATTTTTATAGCTGTAGGTGTCTAATACACATTAGAGAGATTAAAATCGGGGCTAAGAGAGTACCACAGAGGAAAAAATGAGCCAACTAAGTAGTAGCCGCAGGATGGCCACTAGAACGGCGGTAACCGACGGGCAATTCTCGTTGATGCACTCTGACAAAGACTGCTAGGGACATAGAGACACGGGACCGGAAGCCTTATGAGGCTGTAATGTATAGGGGCTTCATGACAGAGAAACTGGAGGTCAGTCGCATTGACAACGGCGGTTGCTCACCCTCTCTTCACGCAATGCATCATTTCTAATACCCTGGGTACCAGAGGATTTCTCGCGTGCGGCGGGAATTTTCGGTGTCGGCCCAAGGCCGACACATCTTCGGCCAAGGGCCGAAGCCGCGAGAAAAACATTTCGCGGGGGTGACTATAAAGACTTGACAGAAACCAGAAACCGCGCTAGAAAAGTCTCTGGCACTCTGGGCACCCAGGATACATTTCTTATTCAGAGGCCCTTTAAAACTGTGATTAACTACGTGCAGCCGCACCCCCTCCCCCCCCCCCCCCCCCANGTAACCAACGGACAATTCTCGTTGATGCACTCTGACAAAGACTGCTAGAGACATAGAGACACGGGACCAGAAGTCTTATGAGGCTGTAATGTATAGAGGCTTCATGACAGAGAAACTGGAGGTCAGTCGCATTGACAACGGTGGTTGTTCACACTCTCTTTGCGCAATGCATCATTTGTAATACCCTGGGTACCAGAGGATTTTCTCGCCTGCGGCGGAAATTTTCGGTGTCGGCCGAAGGCCGACACATCTTCGGCCGTGGGCTGAAGCCTCGAGAAAAACATTTCGCGCGGGTCACTATATATAAAGACTTGAGAGAAACCGGAAACCGCGCTAGAAACGTCTCTGGCACTGTGGGCACCTAGGGTACATTTCTTATTCAGAGGCCCTTTAAAATAGTGATTAACTACGTGTAGCCGCACCCCCCCCCCCCCGACAAAGGAAAAACGAACAGAGGTAGCTCCCTCTCTCCATTTTCCTTTGTCGAGGGGAGGGTTCCGCTACACGTAGACAAAACTGTGATAACGACGCTACTTCGCACATGCGGCGGGCATGACACTTCCCGGAGTAGAATGGCAACACTTCGATGGAAGAGGTCGAAGGCTATTTTTAAATTTTCAAATATATTTTGAATTCGAGTTCAAGATTATGCACGAAGCTCATCATTAGACTAGTTCAGTCTTGGCAGTCCTGTACCATACAGGGAGAGATTAATCATTCGCCTCTAGTTAGGTCACCAAGAAAAGTTTACGCCAACAACCTAAATTCCACAATCTCCAGATCTTAAGAAGAAGTCTCCTCTGCATATCCAGTGAGTGAGATGAAGCATGCAAGAGTAAAATCACATTTTCAGTATAGTTCTAGATTGACTTACATTTACTAAAAAAAGAAATTCCACTAAAACTAGTGACGTTTACATGGTGAAGATTGATATGGTAAAACATCAACTTAGTTTTTTAACCTCCTGACCTACCCACGGCGAAAAGCCCTGGAGACCGTGGAGGTTGTCAACTTCAGTTAGTCTCTCCCCATCGGCGCCTCTTTACAGCACCGACGGACGGGAAGACGCCAGACTCATGGGTTTCGTTGCGGCAGTTCACAATTTAGAAACTAATTATTAAAGTAAGATAATCTGTAATCCTATTCGCAATCGAAGTCGCGGCATTGCAGACTTGGTTATGATATAAGTTATTTTTACACCAAACCCCACGCATTACTTGAACCCTCAGGGAAACAATTAACACTTTAGCACAAGCAGCGAAATAATAACAACTGATATCAATCCGCTAATGTGGCTGCAGCCAAACAGCAGATCTCAAACAGGTCAAACAGAAATACTCGAATAATAAAAAAAAGGCAAAACAAAATTGGTGAATTTTCAGCACGAAATTGCCATCGCATGATTTCATTAAAAATTTCGTTTAAAAATTATAGCAATAGATTTCCGGACATTTTACCAACCTTTTTTCTTATCCCAAAACAAATCAGACCATTTATTATTGAGCCAGAGGCAAGTCTGTTATGCCTATTCATTTTGAAAAATACAGGTAAAATGTCCCAAAAAATCTATTCGAATTTGTTTTCGAATTTCGTGTCGTCGATACGTCAGTCATACGTAATCGTGACCAAATGGAGTCATCTTTTTCATTAAAGAAATAAAGGACATTACAAAACCCAATCATCTTGAGGATTTCTTACCGGATATGTGGAATCACTGAATCGCCCAAGTTTTTATTACCTATGTATTTTAATTTATCTGTCGCAAAATACCCCTAATTTTCTTGAATGTAACTTGTCAGACTAGAAAGGGTTTTCCTTTTTTGCCAAAAAAACTGATACCAAGTAAATTCTGCAAGTTTTTGTTGTTCAAATGGCTCCGACGAGCAAATAAGTCTTAATTACTTACATATATCTCTATCATGCACTGACGAATTAACAATTCAGTTGAAGAAGTAGAATTAATTTCCATTGTTGATAAAGCTTAACGTAGGAGAGGTGATTAATTTTGCAACACCTGCTGCCCTCAGGAGAAGATAAACTCATTCAGCCGTGTTATATTTTTACGGCGCCTGCCAACCTGCTTGCAATCAATTACTGTCAGTCTTGCAGTCTCCTATATCTCCTCGTTCCGCTGCAATCAATACTAACATCGGGTTAGGGACCAGGAGGCAAACGCTAGCAGACATGATAGAGACAGACTGCGAGTTCGACTAATGCGGTAAGTGTGCTATTAAGATTGGAAAAAAGCCAGTAAAAAGCCCGCTGAACAAATATAAGGGAAGAACGACCGAAACGACTGGTTCAGTCATTAAAATCTTACAA